GGTCCGGCCTAGAAAAGGGGCTGAAAAACTAGACTTATACTCAATTATATAAGTATATTTCTTGTACAGAGTCATCAAATCCTCGTATTTCAAAAAAATATTAACTGTGTTTCAAAGTCATTATAGAATCCTGACTATTTTCTATGGAAAACAATGGAAATTGTAATCCAACATCTCCTGCAGTCCTCCATTCACAAGGTAGCAAATATCCTGCAATAAATACTTTATTATTCTAAATTCAAAAATTGTGGAATTTTGGTGGTCATCAACTTAAAGAAGCATTTTTCTTTTGCTCCCAAACATGATGAAACATCAGTCTCTGGGGTGAAACATGTGTATACGTCTGCATTCATTTTTTTGCTTTCAATAATAATACTTTATTCACATGCAGATTTTGTGCCAATTTGAATTGCAAACCTAAATATACCTATTATGACATAAGCCTCAATTGAACGTAATGGGATTTCATTCTGAACCAACATGGGTTAGGTTTGTACAGTTAATTAAGAGTAAAATTGATAAGTTAATCAAGATTTCTTTCAATGGGTGTCACTGTGCATATCTAATTCAAGCTTCAGCTCCCTTCTCCAACTATAAAAAGAAAAAAACCAGATAATTTTGTACATTTCTCTCCCCTTAATCCCCTCTTTAATCTCTAAGGCCAACTAGGTATTTATGTTGCTGCACCAGCTGTTTGATAAAATTTATGGCAAGCAAAAGAAATATGACCAGCCAAAAAGCTCTAGTATCTCCCCAAAATACAGTTCTCAGGACAAGACAGAATGAAGCTATGATCTCAAGCAGCAAATGCTGGAAGTAGGAAGGGATGTTGAAAGGTCAAATGATGAAGAGGACTCAGGGCAGATCACAGAACACATATATAGCAAACATTCAATGCCGTTATACACTGTTATAGGCTTTTCCCATCTTCGGTGTCTTGGAGGTTGTGCTCGATTCCAGTCAAGGGGGTTTCTGTAGATCCATCCACCATGCTGAAGAGCAGACTTCCTCCTTTTGATTGAATTGCTGGCATTTTTCTAGTATTTCCTTATGGTGCCATTAAAATACCTCCTGCTTAAGCAGTACGTATTTATCTACTCACAGCTGTTTTCAGTCTGCTAGGTAGGCAGTGAGCTGGGCTGAAAGTTGGGCCCAACCCAGGCTTCAAACTGCCAACCTTTTGATTGGCAAGATTTATTTTAGCAGGTGGTTAAGCCTGGCCCTTCAGTGTTAGCAAAGATTACCCCTTTGCTACCACTGAGGTTTGCCTAAAGTTGTGGCAGCTTCCATACATGGAAAACTTCGTGTTTTATTGTGTTCTTCATCATAAGCAATGTGTTGACCCCATCACAAATAGATAATCATCCAGTTTCTACAAGTCCATCCATAATGCTGTAGTCGGATAGAATGTACATATGTGAGCAGTCAACCTTCAAGATTGTGAAACCTAGATATGTGAAATAAACATGGATACTAAAGGAAGTCAAACACTGTGAATCTTAGAGTTGTTTTGCTTCTTAAATTTATTAATTGATTTTAGTTTATTAAAAACAATTTGCAGCTTCAGTGGCATTTTAAACCACTAGATGTTGGGCCTTCCCTGAACAGAAACAAGTCTGAAACATCTTCATGTGCTCATTTTTTCTGCAGGGCCCTCACACTCTTGAGTGTCCCTCAAGAAGCCACATGTTTAGTATTAGTGCACAGAAGGCTTAAGGTGCAGTTCCAGGTTTTGAGAACATGGGCAGAAGGCATCTTGAAATAGGTATGGCAGAAGTAGCCATAGTGTAAAGGACATGAGCAGAAGGCATTTTGGTTTTGTGGGTCAGAAAGCACATTCTTACTTCACTATCTATATTTATGGATGGCCACAGAGAACTTCTGATATGTCTACAGTCAAATGTTACTATTGCTTAACAAGTGACACCTTTTGCAGGTCAGCAAGTCAAACTAGCTAACTCCAGTCACAAATCCCAAACAGTACAGATACAGAGCACTCTGATGTGTGAAAAGTAGCGGTGCATCACCATCACCATCAATAGTGCTACTACTGCCGCCGCCAAGGAGATCCATGCATATATAAGTGTGTTGTCCTTAGTACTTGCCTAGGAAGGTGGCTTTACAGGTTGCAGAAGCATTAGACGTTCTCAATCAGATTAGAGAGCCACAAAAGGACTTAAGTGCATTAAAAGAGATAAGGGAGAGAAAAGAGACACACAAGGAGATTTTCCCTCCATCCCTCTGTTCCTTTCTGAGTGCTTACGTCTGTTCATCCAAGGTCTTTAGCTCGTTAATTTCCAGCAAGACTCTGCTCCCCTCCTGTCTGTGCATCCTGTTTGACACTCCTTGAAGCAAGCACTTTAATTAAGGTCACCATTGTTGTTTCATCTCTACACAGCCGTCTCAATGCCAGCATTAAAGAAAGGGTGTGAAAGCTAACCCATAGGATGAACATCCTATCCTGCTGTGCAGTCACTACACAGATAAATCTTAAGGCGCTGCGGCAGCACTGAAGGGATTCGCTAATTTGCACATTAAACCAACTGGCTTAAGAGATACATGGAAGCAAAATCCATGCCCAAAACATCTTACCATCTTGTACAAATAGATGGAAATGTGCACAACCTAGAAGTAAGGAATCACAAGTAGCACTGTTACCTGAGGCTTCATACTTGGAGGGTGGTGGTAGTAACAAGGGAGTGGCAAAGTGACATTCTGAAAGCAACATAACAAGTGAAAGAAAAGGTATTCGAAGTAGTGACTATTTATTTTCAAAACTTACTTTTATGGGCATTTTAGAGGACCTTTAGCAAGAATCTTATTATTTTAGTAACCCCTGTCAGAATAAATCTTGTCAAGAAAACCCTATGATAGGTTGACTTTTGGACACCATACACCATATTTGAAGGCCCATAAAAAACTTTCAAAGTTATCCCAGTAAAAGAAAATTAACAGATAATAATAGGAAAGTAACAAGGACCGTCACAGGGGGAAAGAGGTGAATAGAAATGGCTCTCTTCAGGTCCTCCCAATAGGAAGCTCAAGAGAAAGTGGGCCACACTGTTTCTTAAATATTTGAGGCTGTGCAGCCAAACAACCTCTCCAAAACAAACCAACTTCTATTTTGTTGTTTAGTCGTTTAGTCACTTCTGACTCTTTGTGACCTCAACCAGCCCATGCCAGAGCTCCCTGTTGACTGTCGCCATCCCCAGCTCCTTCAAAGTCAAGCCAGTCACTTCAAGGATACCATCCTTGTTTGGCCCCTCTTCCTTTTTCCTTCCATTTTCCCCAGCATCATTGTCTTCTCCAAGCTTTCCTTTCGTCTTATTATGTGGCAAGGGTACTTCATTTTTGTCTCTAATACCTTTCCCTCCAGTGAGCAATCAGTAGACTTGTTTTTTTCTCTCTGTTGCCTCTGATGAGCTTCTGGTCAACTAACAGAAGTAGCACTAACTACTTCTAGAGATTATCAGTGGTAATCACTGGCAATAAAATGGCATGGGGACAAAAGTTGAAAATGGTTGAAAAAATGTCCTATTGAACAAAAAACCTTGATCAACATTCCCTCTCATATGCTCTTAACAGGAAGTTGCTATTGCATAGGACATTTCTTGTAAACCATCTCTTTGATTATTATGGAAACAGGAAATCTAAGCAGATAGGGTTGGGTCTGGTCTACCATGATTTGAACCCTGCTGGATAAGAAGGCCTAACTATTTTGGCTTTCTGTTCCCATCACAGACAGACATATGTACAGGATGCACACAAGATGTGCCTTTGTGCAATAGCAGCCCTCACTCCCAATATCCCGCATCAAATGATATTGAGAACATTCTGCCTCCAGCTTAATGAGTAGTGACTGAGAGCCTGAACTTCTATGAATTAATCCATTTGTCTTTTTAAAGCACCCCAGTTTGGGGAATCATCACTAGTAATAGTGATTTCCATTTGTTTAGTAGATGACAGTATCCATAAAATTCTTCTCCAGCTGAGTTGATTTTCTTCCTATCATTTTTTTTTCATTGTCTATACCTGCTTTGAATAAGACTGACAATTTTCTAACCATCCTGTTGGTGACACTCATGTTCCAGAAGTCCTTCAAGCAGACTGGTGCCTGTACCAATCCTCTGAAGTACAGAAGAGGTGTTCTGCTGATCTATTCAAGCTCTCTGCATTTCTCGAATGTGGTCCTGCCAAAAAACATCTGTCCAACAAGTCTGAAATAA